CATGTGAAGGGACCAATTTGCGATCAGGGAACCTTTATGCAGTCATCGAGGACACATTATGCGGCCAGGGAACTGTGATGCGACCACATGGGAATATGTATGCGGCGGTGTACAGTGTTTTTTTGGTAACATATTTTTAAAAATTTTAAGAAGCCATGCCGGCTGGGTGGCCTCATCGTTGACGGACTTTGGACAAAAGGTTTGAATCCCACCACGACCTAAGAAAGATTTTTAGGTCAGTGATCCCGACAGTTTGGTACTCTTGAGCTTCGGCTTTTTATTGACCCCCCCCCCCCCCCCCCTCCCCTCGGCGTCCTCTTGTGAGATAAAGTGATCCGCCTTCGATGGCCATTTGTGTACAGTAGGGGTATTATAAAATAAACAACAGGGGTCATTAGCGGAGTGGTAAGAACATGCTTCATGTGTTGAAGATCCCGGGTTCGAGTCTCGTTAGGCCCACATTTTTTCGCAAGTTTTATGACCGAAAGGGCCGTCTCTAAAATGATCTTCCTGCGTTGAAAGAGATGAAACTACCTACTCAGTACTCGGTAAAGTAAGTAACAAATAAGTCTTGGGAAAAAACAGGTGAGACTAGTGAGAACACTCTAGTTATGTTGGCGACAATGAACACAATATTTCTGTCAACAACTTTGACAGAATTTTTAAAAAACCCAATGAATGCGTAAATACTGTCAGCAACTTTGACAGACACTTTAAAAAACGACCCGAGTGTATCTTTAACAAAATCTATAATTCTCTCTCTCTCCCCTTCCCCCCTCCGGAATCATTGCAACGCTCAGACTTTGAATGAAATTTGGTGAACCCCGCAAATGTAGGTACTCGCATGATGGCGTGTGAGGCTAACACACGCAGGTTCACTGACCGGTCACGTCGGCGAGCCTGACAAGCTGAAAATCAGACTACATTGTCTTTTCTTTTCTTTTTTTCTCAAGTGACAGCACAGTCACAAATAGAATCTATTCATTTATTTTCACGGCAACACAGTGTTTATAATTCACAACCTGCATGTCACAAATGTTGAGTTATCAGACCGGGAAAAGCCGAACGAATAACTCAATCGCCACCGGCAAAAATGAACGTATTGACCTTATCAGAATTGGCCTTCAAATATTCGAGAACTTTTTGTATTTTCCCGGGTCATTCCTGGGGCAATTTACAAATTTCTTCAAATTCCCGGGGCATTCTCGGGTCTCGGTGATTCTTTTCAAATTCCCGGGGCATGGCGGTCACCTTGTCAAGAGGTACAAGTGAAAGGGGGCAGTTTCTTCAGACTGCAGCGAATCAGGTGGAGTCAGTCTTGATTGATCTATCGCATTGAAGTCAGAAACTACAAACCAGGCTTTCTGAATGCATTTATGAAAGTTAAATCGTTATTACATGGGCGCTGTTAGCAACTGATCACAACAATGCCCTTCTCCAATGGAGTGAACCTTTTGTGGACGTCGCCGGTCGCAAGAAGTCCCTTTTAAAAAATAAGGGAACATCTATGCGGCCACCCCCTCACTGGGTCCCTTTCGTTGTTTTCTTTAAGTTAAGACATTAACACATGATATTTATTCATTACTTCAACACATAAACCTATACTTGAATTTTTTTTAAATATGACGAGAAAGCTTTGTAAGGACCATGGACAAGTGACCAGTCAAATGTTCACTTTGTGATATTTGGATCGACCAAATTCTTCAAACTTTGCGGCCTATCGAGACCATCTTTGTTGTGAACATGTAATTCACGCCAGTGCATCACGGAAGCTTTGTTTCCGTTTGGAAAATGAAATAAGACCGGAGTTATTTATTTTAAAAGGAAAGTTTCCGCATAGTTCGGCCGGCCGCAAACAGTGCCTTTACTCAAGAGCATACTAGAATAAAGCACACAAGAAATTCTCCGTTTGCTTTTGCACGAGTTTAACGACAAATACAACAAGGTACATTAATAAAGACGGCCAAGAATAGAGTAACGAGTGAGTAATGATAAAGAAAAGAGCACACAGACACCCGCCCGCCGCCCTCCTCACGAGTTAGTGACAGACACAAAACGAGCGAAGGAACAGGACTTGCACCCAACGGCATTATTCACAACCCGCCCCTCAGGGAAGTCCTTCTATGACATTTTGCGAGTTGTGTTATTATACATTATTGTATAGATCCCAACGCTGCTACAAAGTCAACGAGGGGGGGCTGTCGTGGCCTAGAAGGTTAAAGTGTTCGCCTCTCATTCAAAGGTCACGGGTTCGAATCCAGGTAGTGACCGAAAAATCTTCTTCTCTAAAATTTGGTGTCCTTTCACCTCCTTTCCTGTTCTCTAGCAATATTCTGTCGTCTGCTTTCGCCTCCACTTTCTGCCCCC